CCGCCGCTGGCGGCGCGGGCGAGAGCGCCGCAGGCGGCGCCGCCCCGGCAGCCGGCGGCGGCGACGAGGACAACCCCCTGCCGCACCACGTGGATCCCGTAACCCTAGAGCCCGTGGTGGCGCCCGCCATCAGCCCCTACGGCCACGTCATGGGCCTGGCGACGTGGCGGGCGGTGCTGTCGGACGGCCGGCGCTGCCCCTTCACCAAGCGGCCGCTGCGGCCGGAGCAGCTGGTCGTGCTGACGCGGGCCAACGTGGAGCGGTACCGTGACGTCATAGTGACGTCATAATGATGTCATTGTGACAAGTTATAGTGATGCCACAGCCACGGCGGGCGGCACGGCGCCGGCAGGCCTGCATGCACGGCGCGGCACGCTACGGAATGGCACGCATGTTGCTGTGCAACGTGGCTGAGCAACACGCCTGGAGCGGGGCCTGTGCCGGCCCGCCGATCGCAGGTGCGCCGGTGGTGGGTGGCAGAGCGTAGTGACGGCTGCAGGGCTGGTGGTGGCCCGATCCAGACATGTGTGAGCGAGGAGGCGGGTTACAGGCGATGGGAGCGCGGTGAATGGTGTCCTGAGTGGCCCCAACCAGAGGTTTGAGTAGCGGTTGCGCACATTATTGCTTTCAACAGGTTGGTAGGCTCTGTTTTAGAGGGCTTAAACTCAAGTGGTGGATAAGACGATCATGGCTTTTCACACCTCTTATTACAGCACGTGCTCGTGTGTGTCACTTGCAGCAGGGCAGGACGGCGCTGTGCATGCGCCTGCAGCTGCAACGACTGCTGCACAACACAATCGCACTTCCTGCAACGTGATCGACGTCCCTTGATATTAATACCTTTACTCAGTATGCGGCCCCTTTACTCAGTATGCGGCACGTGTTGCCGACCAAACTGCAGTGCGAGGGTGGGACCCGAGTGCAAATCAAATGCAAGCTGACTGTGGTGTGGCAGCAGCTTGACCTGCCGGTGGTTCAGCTCACACAACTCAGGCGGCACCACCAGCATAAGAACTGGACGGATATCACCTGTACACTCGTCTTGCTCGTCTAAACCTGACAAGGGCGCCAATGAGGCCAGCTTTCGCAAGATCACGCCATTTTGTTTTGAGCTCGCAGGTTGGCAGCACACTGAAATCGAGATGTAAACTACATCTCGCTCAACCTGCGACCTCCCGCGCGCACCGACCATTGCACCGAGCGCTTGGCGACGCGAGCGAAGACGCGTTTGTCACCGCAGCGCTGTCAGAGGCGGTGGAGCTGGCGCGGCACGCGCAGCGGCTGGCGCAGCAGCAGGCCCGTGCGGAGCTTCAGCAGGGCTGGATCGCGGGCGGCGCGGCGGACGCGGAGGCAGGAACATGCGCAGATGAACGCCCTGAGGCCCTGTTGTCTTTTCTGCAGGAGCAGGGACTGAGTAGCAGGCAGGCCGAGCAAGTGCTGTCTGCCCTGATGCCTGGCCCCCTGGACTGCAGCGACACCAGTGGCGGCGCCGGCAAGGCACAGCGGCCGCAAGGGCGGCTGTCGAGGGGCCGGCTGGAGGCGCAGTGGGCGTCGCTGCAGCGCGTGCTAGCGGGCGGCGATGTCGTGGCTATGGTGAGCTGCGCGCATGCGGCGGCTGCAACCCGGGGATAAGCAACGCTGCTTTTTCCTGTCTGCTCCGGCTCTTCGGCTGCCCGCGTGCTGGAGGGCTGCTGCAGCCTGCCCCACGTTTGCACGTTCCACAACCCACTGCGGCGCCAAGGCAAGCGCACCTCAATCCAGCCACACCTCACCCCGCTCCGCACCGCACCGCCGTGCCCCGCCGGGCTCACGCCCATCCCCCTCACAGCCCCCTTCAACGCGCCTCCACCCCGCAGGTCGCCTGCGAGCCGCGCCTGCTGCAGGCCGCCAGCGGTGACCTGGTTGGGGCACTGGTGCACCTGGTGGCGGCGTTCCCTGGCATTGACGCGGCCGACATCGTGCAGCGGCGCCCGGGGCTACTGCTGCTGGACGTGCGCACGGGCTGCATGCATGCATTCAAAGGGCATGCATGCGCATGCATGCCTAAGATTGTGATCGGCCATCCTGCACGCATGCGCATGCATGCGGCTGCAGCAAAGCCGCCTGCATGCATATTGCGTGGGCTTGCACGCGTGCAGCGTGTGCAGAGCCACTGTGTGCGGTACGACACCATGTGGCGCCCATCCTTTTGGTTTTCCCCGGCAACGCCTGAAAGACATCCATATCAACCCCATTTTGCATCCATAACTGACGCAGGACCTGTCAGCGCGCTGCGAGCGCGCGGTCTCCAAGCTCATGCAGCTGCACCCCTCTGGAGACCGCGGCATCGTCTCAGGTGCGGCCCCCGCAGTAGCCCGCGTGCGCGCCCGCCTCCCGCGGGTGCGACTCGTCGGCCGCCCCGCGATCGGCCTGCCCCTCTCCCCAGCTGTGCACGGCCGGCGCACCTCAACCCCTAGTGCCTGCCAGGTGCATTATAAGGCCCCTCTTTCGTGGCCCCTGCCCTTCGGCCCTCCCCCTGCCCCCCACCCCGCAGCCCTCATCAAGGAGAATCCTAGCCTCATTGTGAGGATGGATTACTACCAAGACGCCCGCACCCTTGACGACCTGCCGATCGAGATCCAAAACGTGAGCGCCGGTCAGTCAGTCATTGCCGACGGGTTTGACGTGGCAGGGCGGCAGCCGCTGCGAGGGCCGCACCGCTGGCCGCAGCGGCGCGGGCGTCCCGTGGTTCAGGGACTGTCGTTGCGGCGGTGGCGAGGGGGTGGCGAGGACGCCACGGCGCGGCGGGGCCATCCAGGGGGCTGAGGCGCGGAAGTGCGCGGGCCGCCTCGCTTCAACGCTGAGCGATTGGCACACACGGGCAACTAAGCGCTGCGCCCGCACGACACGGTGCAGGCGTGCACACGTCCCCCTGGTCGCACGCCCTGGCTGGCGCTGTGCCGACCTGTCCCCCAAAACACGCACCCGCCACTGCCGCGGCGCCCGTCTTTGCCGCGCAGTGGATGGTGCCAGGCGGCCAAGCGGGCATCGGGTGGCTGTACCGCTATTGGGCGCAGAAGAAGCAGTAGGGGCAGTAGGGGCAGCAGGGGCAGCAGGGGCAGCAGGGGCAGCAGGGGCAGCAAGGGCAGCAAGGGCAAGGCGGCCGCGGCTGAGCACGGCGTTGAGTGTTGGTGTTGATTGGCAGTATTGGGACAGGGTCGAGGCCCGAGGAGTTGGCTGTGGGAGCGGCGCTGCTGCACGGACCAGCAGGAGACGCCGACTTTGACCAGGTGGCTGCAGCTGCAGCGCCGGATGGCGCGCTCGCGAGCGCGGCCGCCGATGCTACAGCAGCGCGTCTGCCTCAGACTCGGTAAGTTTGAGGGCGGGCGCACACCCTCGACGCTGGCGGCCGGCTGAGCGAATCACCGGGCTCACCGCTACCCTTTCTCACGCGCCCATCGTAATTGTTTGTAAGGGAGTGCAGGTTCAATGCAACCTGAGCTTGTAGCCTTGCCTGCTCGCGGCTCGCGCCACTGTGATACCTTACCGCAGGACGGCGGCCTGGGCGTTGCTCTGCGGCGCCACCTGCCTTGATGCACCTGCAGGCCGGCGGCCCCCTGCCGTGGGCTGACTTTCCCTATCACCGCTGTCAGTGTAGCAGCCGGCCCCACCTCACCAGGGAGCCGTGCTCCGGGAAGGCGCAGCCGCGGATTTCTGGCACGAGCAACGGCATGGTGTGTTCACAGCTCGCGAGCGCGTCTGCGCGCGTCTGCCTGGCGGCGACCGGCAGACTCCGCCTGCTGTTGTTTGATCTCGCTGCACGTCTGATTGGAACAACGTGTGCGCATCATCATCCGCCACCCGCCTCAACCCCGTCTCCCCAGGCTCGCCAAACGTTGCATGCCATCGGGTTGGTGGTCCTGCCCAGCTGCTGGCGCCGACTGCTGCGCGGCCGAGCCAATGAGAGCGCCACGGGAGATGTTTTTGCCGCGTGTGCTTTCGCTTGGGACGCGGTTGGTGATTTACAACGTGCTGGCGGGGATGCATTTAGCTTGCAGAGGAGATTGGCTTTGATGTGTGCTTGCCGATATGTGGGCGGTATGTAAATAATCACAGCAACACAATTCGGTGGGCCCTCTGTTTTCCAGCGCTCACAGGAGCGCCCAAGGCGAGGCCAGGGGTGTCGACAGGCGACAAAACAGTACACAGCTGCCGGCCGATTCTCTCAGGTAATGACTCCACCAACAGATATGCTGATCGATGTGTTCGCCAGCTCAGTCTTCGATTATGCCAGGCGGCGAGCCCCCTTAGCGCTCATCAGCCAAACAGGGCCTCGTGCTGCGATGCCAGATCAGGCGGCAGCAGATCTTGGATCTGCAGCAGATCAAACGGCGGCGCCGGCCGCGCCAGCAGGGCGGCCATTTCTTCGTCTCCGATGATGGGGCGCAGCAGGGTGGCCTTGAACTCCTGCACTGGTTGGGATTCGGCGACGTCGAGGGTTGGGGTGGATGAGGAACTCACAAAGTGCTTTGGCGGTGCACAAGCCTTTTGGCGCGGCCACATCCCATGCGCAGATACCCCCGCAGTATAAGAGCAGCCGCAAGGCCATGTCACAATATGCATGGCGTGCACGGCTGGCGCAACCACCCGTGCGCGCTGCGCACCACAGCGCACCCATCAGCTGCGCAGCATCGGCTTTGCTGCTGGCGATAGGCCACTTGCGTGCACCCCGTGCTTGCAAGCGTCAACGCGCGCACCCACCCCATTTGCATCCACAACCTCTTCCGGCGGCGCCAGCGCGACCGCCGCCCAGTGCCGCCGCGGCAGCCGGTGCAGCTGCACGCGCCACCGCGACAGCGGGTCGCCGTCGACCGTGAGGGTCGCCGCCAGCACGCCCGCGGCGCCGCTGTGTGCATCAGCGTCGGGCGCCGCTCCCACGTTTGTGTGTATGCGTGACAGCGGATGGAATCCGAGTCCGTCCCCCCTGGCTTTCACAAACGCCTCCTTGCAGCCCCAGGCCTGCTGGAAGGCAGCTTCCATGGATTCCTCATCGGGGGCCGCGTGCTCGATGCGCGCCCACTGGCCGGGCAGGCGCGGGTGCAGGGGCGCAGTGGAGGAGATGGGGGCCGGGCGAGCGCGCAAGCGAAACAATGCGGTTGCTGCGCGGAGTGTGCCAGCAGGCACGGCTGCAAGGTGCATCTGTGCTGCCACAGGATACAGCCGGCCGGCGTCGTGGAACGGGGCTCCACGGCAACATCGTCAAAACACACTCCACCTGTCTGACAATGTCAAACATGAATTAATCAAAGCCCCAGGCAAAACCAGGGCGCGGCGGTGCCTGCTGCCTGCGGGCACCCACCTCTGCCGAGGTCAGCTGGTCCCTCAGCGGCCGCAGCGCCGCCATCAGCGGGCGCGCGCCGCCGCCGCCGCGCCGCAGCTGCTGCGGCGCCGCCACGTCGACGCCGACGATGGCCAGGGGGTCACTGGCCAGCGCCACGTAGTCACCCTGGGGGGTTGACGGCACAACATGTGCACTTGAAAGTAGTTGCCCACTTGACAAGCGCAGTCACGCGTGTTTTCGTCGAGACGTATTGGTCGATCCAGGCTGCAAGGCGCGGTGTTGCCTTCAAAAGCAGCGGCAGCGTCTGGAAACTGCGTCGCTGCTGCACTGCTGCTGAGGTGGAGCTGCGTCGTTGCTACAACAAGCTGAGGTGATTGCATTGTCAAAGCCCCAATTTTGGACACGCGCGCACCTCATGGGATACGTTAAAGTTGAAGTTGGGGGCGTTTGACCGGCCAACGCCGGCGTTGGCGCAGAAAGGCTTGCGCCCGCGCGTGCGCTTCACGACAACTTGGCGCCAGGGGATGCCCAGGGCGTCGGCACAGCATCGGCGTACCAGCAGCCTGGTTGCAACGGGGGCGGTTGGACACGTGGCTCGTGGTCACCTTATCCCACTCGCCTCTTGCCTTGCCGGGCGGACCCAGTGTTGCAGAACCGGTGTGTCGGCGTCTGCCTGATACATGGGCAAACGCCGCGTGGTCCCCTAACCCTGCCCCCCCCCCCGTGTGAAACCAACCAGCATGTCTGCGTGATGCATGAAACCTCTCACTTCGCCTTCTGTGGGCTGAGCAAAGCTGGTGCGCACGCACCTGCTGGCAAGCGCGCGCTTCCTGTCATCCTCGAACCGATACTTCAGGCATGCAGCTGCGTCCTCCTCCGGCAGCAACGCCCCCAGCCAAGCTATCTCGCCGTCGGATGGCCGCCACGTGGCGACATCGATGAGCCACCGCTTGCAGGCGGGGTGCGGGTAATGCGCCATCAGCCGGGCCCGTGCTGCGTGTCTTTCGGGGTGCCCGCGGACAACGCCGCATCAAAAGGATAGGGAGACCTGGTAAAAAGGCTGCGGTGCTTTCTATATTTTATTAGGCGCAACATAATTGATTGAACAAGCTTCGCAGCAGATCGCTCCTTTGGCGACCAGATCGCAGGGGCTGTCACAGCGCTCGTTAGCCGCACAAGACAAGACAAGATTACATCAGCTCATCCGATTAGGGGCTTGCGAAACGTGGCCGCCCAGCAGGCGTGAACAGTACCGCAGTCACTCTGGTGCCGGTCTTTGCCTCGTCACCGCCAGCGGCGCTTGCTGCATGCTGGCTGGCTGCTGGCTGGCAACCGCAGGGCCCACAACAGTGTGGAGGGGCCATGGATGGGCCACAACAGTGGACATGCCAGGACCACTGTTGCAACAAATGTGTTGCTGCAGGCAGCACACGAGGAGGGTGCCACTGATGGGTCGGCAGTGGCTGATTGCCGCTCACGCAACAGACCGGCACGGCCTCAGCAGGTGCGCCACCACCAAGCTGTGAGCTCCAATGATGAGGGCCTCTGCATGCTTGTAACACCTCGAGGTGCGTCCCCATGTTGTGGACCTTGATTTTAGCGTCGTGGATCTGCTGGCAGTGCATCGCCCCCCTCCACATCTCAAGTCCGAGCGCAGGGCAGGTTACACAGCACACTCGTACATTTACACCCCACAACGTAAGGCCGGCTTAGGGACATGAGACCAGGTCAAAGGGGGCGCGGCGGCCCTGCATGTGCATCATAGATACAGGGAGGATACCGGAAGGCGGGCAGGCGGCGCGAGCAGAAGACGCCTGCCTGCGCGACACAAGGCGGGGAAGCTACCATTTTGTTTGGGGCCCTGTTGGCTCAGCCCAGGGAGGGGGGGCTGCAATCAGGCGTAGAACGCCGCGATGCCCTGCCCCGCGGCCGTCGCGCCGCCGCGGCCGGGGGACCTGCCCTTGTTGGCGGCAGTCACGAGGCCGCCGGCGGCGGCCGACCCGAACGAATCCGCAAACGTCGCGCCGACGGCCCCCGGCGCCGCCAGGCCCCCAAACCGCACAGACCTGCCGGCCCCTTGCGCCTCCGGCGGCGACGTGCCACCGGCGCTAGGCCCCTCGCCGGCCGTCGCAATCGCGATCGCGCCCGCGGCGCCGGCGCCGCCGCACCAGCGCTGCTGGAATTGAACGAGCAGCCCGGGGTTGCGCTGCTTCACGGCGGACGCCAGCGCGTCGAGCTGCGCCTGCAGCGCGGCGCCGCGGGCGCGCGCGGCGTCGTAGCGGGCGCCGGCGGCGCGGCGGACGACGCGGTCGGGGCAGGCCACAAACGTGAGGGAGCAGAGCTCGACAAACTTGAAGTCCAGGTCCTGTGTGTGTGTGTGTGTGTGCGCGCGCGTGTGCGTGTTTGGATGTGTGCGAGCACATGTGGAGAGATGTGATGGCACAATGCATCCACAAAAATTGAGACGCGCCTGTTGGTGCCGCCACCCCCCCCCCTAAGGGGCCTGCGAGGCCCTGCCCCTGCCCCGCCTGTGTTGTGTGCCCGCACCTGCACGAAGTCCAGGCGCGCGCGCTCGCCGCAGGCCGACAGCAGCAGCACGGCAAAGAACGCGCCGGGGGCGCGGTCGCAGCGGTCGGCCAGGGAGGCTATCAGTGCGGGGAACTCCTGGAAGGACGGCGTGAGGCCCTGGGACTCCTGGGGTGGTTGTGATTGGGTAAATGAGATGAGATGATGGGCAGGGGCCCCGGACACGTTGTGGTGGATGGATGTGTGTGCCGATGAGGGGGAGCGCAAGGACGAGCGAGGCTGCTCGCTCGCGGATGCAGGGGGTGGAGGGTAAGCGGGCGAGACAGGGCCGGGCGGGCGGACGGTGGGTGGGGCGCGGTGCTGTGCGGCGGGCCGGGGCGCTGCGTGTGGCGCGGCCCGCTGGGAGGGGTGCTGCCGCGGGCAGCCCCGCAAGCCCGAGCCCTCGGCTACATGCAGTCCCGGCCTGAATGGCTGCAGAGGCGGGCCACCGTGGGATGCTGCAACAATCCTAATCCCAACACTGATCCTGCCGGGCATAAGGCCTCCTACCTGCAGCAGCCCGTACTGGCGCGGCTCCACGGTGGCCTCAAACACAAAGAACAGGTCGCTCTCAGACGACACCACCAGCTTGAATGCCAGCGGCTCGCCCGTGCGCGCATCGCAGCGCTGCAGCATCGACAGCACCAAAGGCTCGCGGGCAGAGGCCTGGGGGGGATGCAGCAGCAGGCGCAGCAGGCGCAGCCGGGGGGTGCGGTGGAGGGTGCGGAAAGTGGCGGCAGCTGACGTGGCGGGGGAAGGCAGGGAGTGGTTCAGCGACGCGACGGCCCTCTATGGCTTGTGCACAGCGTACGCGGTCACGTTTCGGCGCTTCTTCACGTGAAAGCCTCCAGCTTGGCGCGCGAAAACCGCTCGCGCTTGCGCACCTTGCCGGCAACGCCGCCATCGACCTCCGCCCTGAGCTCCAGCATGAATCCAGTCCGCTCCCATACCTCCTCCCACGCGCGTTTGGGGCTATCCATGCGCTGCATAAGCTCGAAATTATTGAATCCGCTTGAGCAGGCCAGGTCCGAGACGTCAACGCGCATGATTATATACTATAACACGTTGATTGAACATTGAATACTGCAAGATGTATTGCACAAGAGCTCGCTTCCGTTCTGCTTGGCAGTCCAGAAGCCGTGCAGCGCCTGCCATGCACTCCGCAAAACTGCAGTGCTGAGCTAGAGGAATATTGCAAAAGAAACCCTGTATTTTTGGGTGTTTCAGATGATGACAGAGCCTTGGCACCGAGAGGTCTTCTCTCAAGGGCCAGTCCCCTTGCAGTCAGCTGCCAGGTTCGCCCTGCAAGTGCAAACTCTGGCAGTTTGCCCCAGATGCACAGCTTTGCTGCAGATCTGTTTTGCAATGCTGAGATTTCAGAGCCTTTGGTGTGTTGTAATTGGCCGACACGTGCTTGGCTGGTACGAGGTTCCTGGCTGGTGGCTTCCACCCCGCACGGTTGTCTGGTCGCTTGTGAAGTTGTGACCCATACCAGCAGAGCACTCTCAACCCTTGGCGCCAATGTATGAGCTTCAATCATGCTGGCATGTACAGGTACACGTGCATGTGAAAGTATGATGTGGAGGAAGCGACTGGGCTCAAGCCAAGCCCCACCCGCCCGCCGACCTGGGCATTGGTACGCGCGACACGCGGCCCTGACCGCCACACCCATCTGGCATGCCGGATCGCATTTTTCAGCGCTGCCTACTGCATATCATCCATCATGGCACCTGTCACTCACTCACCGCTTTCTCTCCAGTGTGCAGGGCGGAACGTCGCACTCGCGTAAATTTACTTTATCATAGTTGCAGCCGTAATGTAGTTTGTGCGTGTGTATTACAGACCTTCTTCGCTCAAAGCGCTTCCGCCGTCTCCTTGAGGCTTTCTTCGCGGTGCATCAAAGCAGCAATTGCTCGGCAAACTCTTCACGGACGGCAGCGTGCGGCTTGGTTACGGAAAGGGAGTGTGTTATAAGGCACATTCACGCAGAACAACAAGCAGGGGTGCACGGGCGGCGCGCACGCCGACGCCAGCGGCGGCCATGAGCAGCAATGGCCTCCGCGTCGCTGGCGGCGTGGCCAAGAAGGCCGGCAAGAAGGCCGCAGGCTCGACCGGAGGTGCGCTTATAATCCCAGAGCTCCGCGCCCTGAGCCGCCGCCAGAGCGGGACCGCCGTCTTGGCGCGCCACCGCCACGCGGCGCTGCAC